CCCACATATATGTATTTGCGTCCCACGCTAATGTTGATGGAATGCAACATTCTTATCAGATATGAAGTGAATAAGATTCACCCGGGCTCCTTCAACTCGAACCGGCCTCCGTACCTGCAGAACCCAACGCCGGGTGGCCCCGGCGTCGGGCCTCTGATGCCTAAGTCAGTGCTCGGATCCAGAGAGAGATAAAGTGTAGTAATGTAATGAGATGAGAATGAGAGAATGAGGTACCTTGGCCCCCCTTTTATAGGGGGAGTGTACCTTTTAGGCCCAAGTTGGGCTTAGATGTCTTAGTGGGCTTATCTTTCAATATGTATCCGTTTTATCCATCAAACCGAGTCCAGTATAATATCTTATATCATCTAGTCCCCCCACTCTGGTCGAGTAAGCATAACTGGATCCAAGAGTGAAATGCCTCTTGGAGCTGTTTTCTTCCACTTGCCACTACGATCGAGCATCGAAAGTTGAATGACCATTGAATAACCACTGAAATATCCTCCAAATGAGCTTTGAGATCTCAAGATCGAAAATCGCAAGACCACGGAGGTTGGAAACTGAATGATCTGACGTCGGGGTCGAAAACTGAAAGATTTGTCAATAAGGACAAGGACCTAATGACTTGCCACTGAAGTCGAACACCATAAGTCGAACGTCAACTGAGGTCGAAAACCGAATCGAGACCGCTGAGGTCGACAACCGAGAATCGGGACCGTTGAGGTCGAAAACCGAGAGTCGAGACCGTTGAGGTCGAAAACCGAGAATCGAGACCGCAAGAGATCGAAAACCGAGAATCGGGACCGTTGAGGTCAAAAACCGAGAATCGAGACCGCAAGAGGTCGAAAACTGAGAGTCGAGAACGTTGAGGTCGAAAACCGAGAATCGAGACCACAAGAGATCGACAAACCGAGAATCGGGACCGTTGAGGTCGAAAACTGAGAGTCGAGACCGTTGAGGTCGAAAACTGAGAATCGAGACCGCAAGAGGTCGAAAACCGAGAATCGGGACCGTTGAGGTCGAAAACCGAGAGTCGAGACCGTTGAGGTCGAAAACCGAGAATCGGGACCGTTGAGGTCGAAAACTGAGAGTCGAGACCGTTGAGGTCTAAAACCGAGAATCGAGACCGTAAGAGATCGAAAACCGAGAATCGGGACCGTTGAGGTCGAAAACTGAGAGTCGAGACCGATGAGGTCGAAAACTGAGAATCGAGACCACAAGAGGTCGAAAACCGAGAATCGGGACCGTTGAGGTCGAAAACCGAGAGTCGAGACCGTTGAGGTCGAAAACCGAGAATCGGGACCGTTGAGGTCGAAAACTGAGAGTCGAGACCGTTGAGGTATAAAATCGAGAATCGGGACCATTGAGGTCGAAAATTGAGAGTCGAGACCGTTGAGGTCAAAAACTGAGAATCGAGACTGCAAGAGATCGAAAACCGAGAATCGGGACCGTTGAGGTCGAAAACTGAGAGTCGAGACCGCAAGAGGTCGAAAACCGAGAATCGGGACCGTTGAGGTCGAAAACCGAGAGTCGAGACCGTTGAGGTCGAAGAACAAAAACTGAATGACCACTCCCTGAAGTCTTGAATTTGAAAATTTGAACTTATGCCTGTTTTGTTTTGATCATCCTGTTCGAGCTTTCTTAGACCACCTCGTCCTATCACCCCTCAGTTCAAAGTTTAAGATTCAAGCCTGTTGTATATTCCTTTGAAAAATAAATCAACCACCAACCTGCTTGAGCCGTAATGAATATACTCGACCCGCCACTAGAGTCGAAAAATCAATTCGACGGAATCATAATCAAATAAAACGCAATCAACCTGCTCGAGCAAAAGTGAATATACCTCACCCGCCACTGGGGTCGAAAAATCAATTCGACAGAATCATAATCAAATAAAACGCAATCAACCTGCTCGAGCAAAAATGAATGTACCTCACCCGCCACTGGGGTCGAAAAATCAATTCGACAGAATCATAATCAAATAAAACGCAATCAACCTGCTCGAGCAAAAATGAATATACCTCACCCGCCACTGGGGTCTCCTGTAGGCTCCGTGTCTTGACGACCCAACACTAGGATCGACCACCAGCCCGGAGGCCTTAGTCATGGTGGATATTGTCTTCCCTTAACCTGCCTCTGGGTTAGGAACAAATGTACAATGATAACAGACCAAATATAACCAAACAGAAACCATCGACCTGCCTCCGAAGTCTGCTCGAGCCATCCATGTCTTCACGACCCAACACTAGGATCGACCACCAGCCCGGAGGCCTTAGTCATGGTGGATTTTTGTCTTCGAGCACATGCCCACCCTCGAAGGAGTGGTCGTTACATGTGACAACCCAGCCCGGAGGCCTTAATCATGGTGGATTTTATCTTCCCACAACCTGCCACTGGGTTAGGAGCAAATGTATAATGATAACAAACCAAATATAACAAGAGGAAAACATCGAGCTGCCTTCGAGGTCTCCGATAGGCTCCACGTCTTTACGACCCAACACTAGGGTCGACCACCCAGCCCGGAGGCCTTAGTCATGGTGGATTTTTGTTGTTCTTCTCTTCAGGCACTTGCCCACCCAATCCGAGGGATGTAC